TTTTTTTTCATTTCCACTTTCTTGACATATAAACTTGTAAGATATTTAAAGCATATATTGGGGTGACTTGATACACACATACATGGTGAAAGGATTCTGTCTAGGTAGTTAATATATCCATCACCTCACATATTTATCTTTATGTATGAGAACATTGAAGTTTTATTCTCTTAGCCAATTTCAGCTCTACAGTAGTGTTATCAACTATAGTCAACATGTTTTACATTACATCCTCAGACCTTATTTATCTCATAGCTGAAAGTGTGTACCCTTTTTCCAACCTCTCCCTGTTTCCCCCAACCCTCAGCCCCAACTACTTTTCTACTCGATTTTGACCCTTTAGTTTCCACATATAAGTGAGACCATGCAGTATTTGTCTTTCTCTCTCTGGCTTATTTCACTTAACATAATGCCCTCAAGGTCCATCCATATTGTTGCAAACAGCAGGACATTCTTTCTGATGGTTGAATAATATTCCATTGTGCATATATACCACCTCTTGTTTGACCATTTATCTGTGATGGACACTTACGTTGTTTCCATATCTTAGCTACTGTGAATAATGAATGCTGCAGTGAACATGGGAGTGTAGATATTTCTTCTAGATCCTGTTTTCATTTTCTTTTACTCTTTTGAAGAACTTCTATACTGTTTTCTGTAGTGACTGCACCAGTTTACCTTCCCACCAGTAGTACACAGGGGTTTCCTTTTGTCCATGTTTTCGTATGTATCTCTTATCTTTTTGATAACCATCCTCACACATGTGAAGTGGTATCTCATTGTGGTTTTGATTTGCGTTTCCCTGATGATTCATGATTTTGAGCACCTTTTCATATACGTGTTGGCCATTTGTATATCCTCTTTGGAAAAATGCCTGGTTCCTCTGTCCTTTTTTTTTTTTTTTTTTAAGATTTTATTTATTTGAGAGAGAAAGAGCGAGCACAAGCAGGGAAAGCGGCAGACAGAGTGAAAGGGAGAAGCAGGTTCCCCATCGAGCAGGGAACCCGACGCGGGGCTCGATCCCAGGACCCTGGGATTACGACCTGAGCTGAAGGCAGACGCTTAATGACTGAGCCACCCAGGCGCCCCTGGATGCCCCCTTTTTTTTAAGGTTTTATTTATTTATTTGACAGAGGGAACACAAGCAGGGGGAAGGGGAAAGGGAGAAGCTCCCTGCTGAGCAAGGAGCCCGATGCAGGACTTGATACTGGGACCCTCGGATCATGACCTGAGCTGAAGGCAGACGCCTAACCGACTGAGCCATCCAGGCACCCCTCTTCCGTCCATTTTTAGATTAGATTGTTTTTGTTTCTGCTATTGGGTTGTATTAATTCATTATATATTTTATTTTTTAAAGATTTTTTTTTTTTAATTTATTTGACAGAGAGAGACAGCAAGAGAGGGAACACAAGCAGGGGGAGTGAGAGAGGGAGAAGCAGGCCTCCTGCCGAGCAGGGAGCCCGATGCGGGGCTCGATCCCAGGACCCTGAGATCATGACCTGAGCCAGAGGCAGTCGCTTAACCAACTGAGCCACCCAGGCGCCCCAAATTCATTATATATTTTAGATGTTAACTCCTTATATGTACGATTTTGTCCCATTTGGTAGGTTGCTTTTCATTTTGTTGATGGTTTCCTCACTGTACAGAAGCTTTTTACTTCTGATGTAATCCCACTAGTTTATTTTTGTTTTTGTTGCCTTTGCTTTTAGTGTCAAATTCAAAAAATCATTACAAAAACCCACAATTTTATATCAGATGTAATTTACAAATATGTTTTCCCAGTCTGTGACTTACCTTTTTATTTTTCTTAGTGGTATCTTTTTTATAATAGTTTTATTGAGATATAATTCACATAGTATATACAGTTCACCATTTTAAAGCCTAAAATACAGTTGTTTTTACTATATTCACAGAATTGTGCAACAATCACCACAGTCAACTTTAGAACATTTCATCACCTTCTGAAAGAATCCCACACCCATTAGCACTCACTCCTGATCTCCCCAAGGCCCCTACCCCCAGGCATCCACTAATCTACTTTCTGTCTTTCTGGATTTGCCTATTGTGGACATTTCATATAAATGGAATCAAACAATATTCAGTCTTTTGTAACCATTTAGTGTAATATTTTCAGGGTTTGTCCATGTTGTAGCATGTATCCATACTTCATTTCTTTATTTGCTGAATCCTATTCAGTGGACCCTTGAATAATGGTGGGGATGTTAGGGGGCTGACCTCCTACACAGTCAAAAATCTGTGTATAACTTTTGACTCCTCCAAAACTTAACTACTAATAGCCTACTGTTGATCAGAAGCCTTACCCATAAAATAGTCAACACATATTTTGTGATATATGTATTATATGTATTCTTACAATAAAGTGAACCAGAAAAAAGAAAATGTTGAAGAAAATCATAAAGAAAATACATTTACAGTGCTGGGCTGTATTTTTTTTTAAAAATCCACATGTAAGTGGACTGTGCAGTTTAAATCCATGTTATTCAAGGATCAACTGTATTGCACATTTTTATTTAATTCATTCATCAGTTGTTGGGCACTTGGATTGTTTCCACTTTTCAGCTGTTATGTATAATGCTGCTGTTTTTGTGTAGACCTATGTTTTCATTTTTCATTTCTCTCAGGTAGACACACATAGGACCACTGCTATTGCTGGGTCAAATAGCACCCAATGTTTAATCTTTTGAGGAACTGCCAGACTGTTTTTTTTTTTTTTTAAGATTTTATTTATTTATTTGAGAGAGGGAATGAGAGAGAGAGAGAGAGAGCGCACATGAAGGGGGGAGGAGGGTCAGAGGGAGAAGCAGACTCCCTGCTGAGCAGGGAGCCCGATGCGGGACTCAATCCTGAGACTCCAGGATCATGACCTGAGCCAAAGGCAGTTGCTTAACCAACTGAGCCACCCAGGTGCCCCAAGAACTGCCAGACTGTTTTCTAAAGCTGCAGGAATGCACCATTTTCCGTTCCTGTCAGCAGCATGCAAGCATTCCGGTTGCTCCATGTCCTTGCCAACACTTGTTATTATCTGTCCTTTTTATTGTAGCCATCCTAATGTGTGTGAAGTGGTGTTTCATTGTGGTTTTGATTTGCATCTCCCTAATGGTTCATGATGTCAAGCATCTTTTCATGTGCTTAGTGGACATTTATATGTCTTCTTTGGAGAAATGTCTGTTCAGGCCCTTTGTCCATTTTTATTAGGTTACTTGTCCTTTTATTATTGAGTGTTAAAGAGTCCTTTCTGTATTCTAGATACAAGCCCCCAATCCAATAGATGATTTGCAAATATTTGCTCCCATTCTTTGAGTTGTCTTTCCACCTTCTTAAAGGTATCCTTTGAAAAAAGTTTTCAGTTTTGATGAAATCCAATTTGTCATTTTCTTTTGTAGCTTGTGCTTTATGTGTCATATCTAAAAAGCTATTGCCTAATTCTTTCTTCTAAGAGTTTTTATGGGTTAGTTCTTATATTTAGTATGATCCCCTTTGAGTTAGTTTTGGTATATAATGTAAGGGTCTAAGTTCCTATCATTTGTATCATGGGAAGATCTCAGAAAGTATGTTAAGGGATAAAAGCAAATTGCAAAATGATACGTGTGGTATGATACCATTCGTGCAAAATTTAAAAGCATATATAGTTACATATGTACACATAGGTAAAAAAATTTTTACCCCCAAATCTTTGATAATCGTTGCCTCTGAAGGGGTGAGAGGAGGGACTGGGACTGGACAGGATTGGTGGTCAAAGGGGACTTCAGGTTCATCTGCAATATTTTTAGGTTGAACTTGACAAAATATGAACAATTATCATTGGGGGTGCTTTACTATGTTATACTTTTTATCTTTCTGTATATTTTAAATTTCTCAAAATATACATACATGCACTCACGAAATCAAAGTTAAGAGTCATGGAGAACAAATCATTTCTGTTTAGTGCAACGCCCACACTGGCTGAAGCACTGAGGTAAGGCTTTGTGCAGATAGCCTGTCAGCATGCTTCGGGCAGATTCTGTTGTGTGGGAGTTTCTGAGCTAGAACCCCAAAAGATAAATCTCTTCATTTAAGTCATTTGCACACTTTGGCTTCCACAGAAAACCCCCTGAATGCCACACCCAGTTTCCCTTGCTCTGAACAGCAGCAGGGCCCACATCTCAGTGAGCTCCATTTAACTAGAGTCTTTAAATGTTATCCCATTGCTCCAAGCTGTCTCCAAAACTGTACCAGAGCCTTCACAAGTAACGTTCAGTTTCCACGAAACATGTGTCTGTTCTCACCTAGTCTCCATGAAATGCCCCAAAAGGCCTCATTGTGTGTTTGACAAGTGACCTGGCCCCTGGGAAGCAGCCTGCAGCTGAGCTCCTGACACACGCTCGGGCGCATGGTCCATGCGGTCTGAGAGCTGCAGAGGTACAGAGTACACTTCATTGCCCGTGGAGTAGATGGGGTTATTCCCACATCTCCATGAGCTATGTTGCCTGGCGCAAAGCTCTTAACTCTTTTCATCTTGTTTTTCTTCCATAAAATGGGTACAAAAATGTTATGCCCTTTCTATTCATAAGTTATTGTGAGGGTCAAATGCAATAATGTACATAAATGTGTTTGCAGACAAAAATGAAAGATGTCTGTGTATCATTTCCCAACTGTGTGGCCCCAACCCCACTCAGATCCTCAACCCCGCTACTCTGCTCAGTCTATCCGCAAGGCCCCCGCTCTCCATACTAGCCTCTACTTTCCCTCCCACTTTTAGTCCAGTCTAATGGTATTCTCTCTCCTCCTCCCTCCCCGCTCTTCCTTTCTTTTTTTCCTTTTCTTCTTCTCTGCAGTCCTGGAGGCAGCCTGACTCCTTCCTTTCAAATGTGATCATGCAGTGCACTGCCCCACTGAACTGCAGCCACGTCGGCTGACTTAGATTGAGAAAAAGGACTTTCCCCTTCCTCCAAGAGGTAAGATACCTGAGATAACATGTTTTATCTCTCTGATTCTCCCAGGCTCAGGCCACAGGGTCACCACATACATCGCCCACTCACGGAGGCGGCCGCCCAATGCCCATGCCTGTCCGCTCCACGTCTGCTGGCTCCACCCCCACCCACTGCCCACAGGACCCACTGAGCGGAGTCGGGGGAGACATGCAGGAGGCCTTTGCACAAGGTGAGATACTGGAGCAAAATATAATGGAGAGCTAGAGGGGTTTGGCAACATGAACAAGATTCCTACTGAGATTTTTCCAGTTTCTTTTCTTTTGTGTGCTTACTTTCAATGATCAGATGTTCATATACAGTATAAATAAGTCGAGTGTTGGTCCCTTCTCATTCGCTGGGCTGGGCTCCCAACAGGAGCTCAACAGGCTTTGTATGTTTGTGAAGACCAGGCCTTCGGGGCTTCTGTGCTCTTTTTTCTGGGTTTGGGGAAGTGACTTGTCCTTTGGGCTTTGCCTCCTCCTCGGGAGGAATTGGATGGAATGATTCCTGAAGTTGTTCTTTGCCTGGAAAATCTTTAGAGCAAGTAGGAGGAGGAAGAGTGGAACTCTAAATAGGACCTTGCTGGAGGCACACTGGGCACAGGATTGCCACGACTGTCTGAGGAGCTAGCAGCCAGCTACGTGGTAGAGGTGGGGGCAGACACTGCGGCCAAGGAAGTCTCGTTAGGGTGGAGACAGAACGGGATGGTGGAGCTGCTGTAGAGTAACGTCCTGCCTCAGGCCGTCTGGGAGCCGTGTTCGTTCTGGAATCCAACTCTCTTGAATGCGGCTAAGAAGCGTGCAGCTGACAGGGTCCTACTCCACAGGTAGAGAAGAAGAGGGGGGAGAACGCGGACTTGGGTGCCTCGTGGCCCCGACGTGCCTAGGAGCGGGTGGAGGTGCCCGGCGCCGTGCCCGGGGCCCGGCGGACCGAGGCGTGCACTCGCTCGCTTCTCCACGCGCACCCACCTGGCATCGCCGTCTGCTCTGACTGTCCTCAGGTACGAGGAGAAACCTCCGCAATGACCTGCTGGTGGCCGCTGACTCCATCACCAACACCATGTCATCCCTGGTGAAGGAGCTCCACTCAGGTGAAGCCCAGAGCTCCCGCCCGGCCTCACGCCGCCCCTGGCGTCCCCACGCCCTCCTCCCTCGCTCACCGCGCGGTAGAACGGCGGGCCGCCGCACGCGCTGCTTCAGCTCACCGCTCCATCTTTCCGCCTTCTAGGAATGCCCCGGACGGCCTCCCCCAGGGAGCCTCTGTCCCACACGTGTTCATGCCCAGACGCCCACACGTTCTGTTTCTCTGAAGGCCGCACCCGGTAGAACAAGCGCAGTCCAGCATCTGCAGGCACACAGTCATCCCCTCTCCCCGGACTGCGCCCCCCCCCCCCCCCCCGCGTGCGCTCCGTCCACAGCCGCTCTTTCCCCAGGGCTGCTCGGCCGCCTCACTCGGAAGCTTTCCTGGATGACTGGAACCGAATCAGCCACAAAAGCTTCTGGACTTTCTCCCAGCTGCCTTTCTGCTCTCTCTTATTTGATTTGGTCTTGAAACCCTGTTCTCTCCTTTTGCCTGTGACTAGGCTCTGATCTCACGTGAAGTTCGTGACCTGCATCTGTCGCTCTTGACCCCTCTGTTCAGTAGTACGTGTGGCTCCTTCTTCAGTCTCTCCCGCGCCTAGCTCTTTCAGTGACTTCCCGGAGACCCTTACCTATTGTTCCCCTTATATAAAACCCAGGAAAGAGAGAAGTAACAAAAGGCCATTCCCATATTGTCATATTTTCAAGAATCCCCATGACTCCCTTGGTTTTGTAACTGCCAGATATTTACTAATTTGTTTACAGTGGTTAGATTCCTATGTTCCATATTAGACAGACGGGTTCCCTTCCTAAGTGCTACGGATGGCCCTCTGTTGTTTCTTTTCAGCTAATGGAGGACTTTTAAATACCTTGGAGTAGCTTAACAAGGTTATTAAATAAAAACGTAAAGCAGGTTTTCCATGGGCTGTTCAAACACATCCACTGAAATCATCAGTCCCCACTCTGAGGGCAGGGAAGCCTCAGGTATGTCCTCAGACCTTTGAAGGAGAAAGCATACACCTCTGGCTGGCCCGTGGTTCCCTCTCAAATCTGCTGATTTCCACTTAGAATAAATGCATGGCCTAGGTTGGTTTTTCCGTGGCAGTTAAGATAAGATACCGGTTCTCCCTCACAGGGAGTGTGAACGTGACGCTCCCTCCATTCTGGTACCATTTCTCAGTCCTTGTCAGAAGCAATGTTCTCTCCATAAACACACAACAGAAGAGGTGACTGCCTTTGAGATGACTTCACAGATGCTCAGGAAGTCCCTTCCCTGATACAGTTTCCCCGAGAAGCCAGAAATCCCACTTTTAGAGGGAATTTCAGGCCATGGAAATTAATCACACTGGGCCTCCCAACCACTTACTAGGATTTGGGCAAGACCAGTAGCTGGTGAGCTCATCACACTAGGAGGAGAGGTAACTGGACACCGTTAAACACACAGCACCCAGAGACCAAATAGCTTCACAAAACGTAAAACGTTATAGGCAGTCTCTCATGGCAGGAAAGAATGGTTTTAACACAATTCTGTGATGTATTTGGAAGGTACCTTAGAGATCACATTGCCAAGTCCCCTTTAGAAAGGCAGTGAGTGATTATCAGAAAAGCAATTTCCTGAAGTTGTGCATCTTGAAGGGGCAAAGGCCAGTCCTAGAACTCAGGTGCCGAGGACACACAGCCAGTGTTCCCGCTGCCACAGCACCCTTCTGTCTGCACAGGACCAGAGGTCAGGTTTGCGGGCCCATGAGGTCCCCTTTCACTGATGCTCTGCTCTCAGGCCCTGAAGTCCACGGGTAGGTGTGAACTAAGCCTGCACGTGACACTGGATCCTTACAAAGTGCAGAACTAGACACCCTTTACATGTGAGGCTGCCACTTCCCCAGTGAATGGAAGAGGCTCACCCAGCACCCACGCATGTTTACTATCACTGTTGGGATTTGTGTTAGGATGAGGTGAGATATTCAGATTGTCTTTAAATATTTCCCATGCCATGTGCACATACTATTTATAGCCATAGCTTCTCCTCCTCATCTTTTTAAAAATATTTTCACAAATAATAGAATCTTAGGGTTGGAAAAGATCCTAGAAGTCATTTAATCCAGCTTGCTGCCCAATATAAAAGTCCTCTGTTTGAATATTTCCAGTGAGCTCATTCATGACCAGCTCCCGTCACGGTGAAGTTCTTCCTTATCAGGGAGCCAAAATTTGCCTTTCTGTCAGCAGTTTATCCTCATCCCATCCTCTGAAGCTACCCAGAGTAAGTTCAGGCCCTCCCCTTCCTATTAATTTAGCCTTTCAAGTCTTTGATGACAGGTAACACGGCTGTCCCCAAGCCTTCTCCTCTTGAAGGCGACCGTTCACTGTTCCTTCAGCCACTCTTAATGTGACATGGTTTTCACTTCACCATTTTGCTTGCCCACACTAGGATGTGGCCAAGAGCTTCAAGGCCCCAATTCAAAGTGAGTTCCCAGAGTTGAGCACACGTCTCCCTATCACAGGGGACCTGCTCCCTGAAGAGCACAGTGAACTGTGACCTCCCTGAGCGAAGGCCCTGGGAAGGCAACCTGAGCAGGCATTAGCTTTTTCCACACAGCCACTTTTGCTGTTCAGTCATTTTAAGTTTGTTGTCAGCTAAAACTTCCAGTTTTTGGTTGTTTTCTCTTAACAGAAGCTGGTGTTAATCTCGGTATTCCCCACCATGTACTTTGACGGTTGCTTTCTTGAACCTGAATGCAAGATATTAGGTGTATCCCTGGTAGATGTGGTCACCTTAGGGAAAGCAGGCATCGAGAAAAAGCAGCGACCCCCACCTCAGTCACCAGGGAAGCCAGCCACAGAGCCCGTAGCAGGATGGGTGACCTCAGCCTGCGCTGCCCCTAGGGGCCCGGAGCTCATGGATAAAGAGTGGTAGCATGTGCACCATGCATGGGGCAGGCTGGGTGAATGTCAGCACCCTTGGAGGCCTATGACTGTAAGCCTTTAGCTAGGGCTTCATCCCAAGCCTGCTAAGTCATTCCCTGCCCCCTCGTCCTCTGCTTGTGCCATGCTGAAGGGTCACTGGCCGCCTTGGACTTGTTTTCACAGCAGAGGAAGGTGCAGAGGAAGAAGAAGAGAAGAAGCAGAATGGGAAAGACAGAGGTAAAGGCAGCTCGCAGGACCCCTAGTTTGAGTGGGAGGCAGAGCTACACAGCCCCTGAGGGAACCCTCCCCCATTTCGTTTCTGCTTTTCTTCCTGCTGCCAGTTTCCCCAAAGCTTTCAGACCCCCACAGTGACTTCGGCCTGCTCTTCCCAACTGGCCCATCAAAGAGGTGGTGGCGTCAGGCGATCAACAAAAGCCTCCTGATTTCCTAATACTATGATAGATGGTTCGGACATAGGAAGTAGATACCAGGAAAGCACACAACATGACCCTTTGCCTCTAGGAGTTTATAATATAGTTAGGGAGGCAAGACAGAGATATGCAAAATAAATAGGAGATAAAATGAAGTGGCAGGAAAAGTTAATCATCAAACTTTGAGTGTGTGATTACAAATACAAGAAGGGTTTCTGGAAAGGAAGAGATTATTGTGGGCAGAATAGCTAAATGGTTTTGTGACCTCAACAGAAGAATTAAAAGCAATAAAGAAAGGTATCGGTAGAGGCGAGTAATGCCTTCCTAGCTTTATTGTATATAAAACCTGCTTAATAACTTGTTATGTACAAAGAGCTGTGCTAAATGATGTCCACGTATTAGCTAATTAATACTTAACAACCCTGGGAGATATAATGATGTCCCGATTTTACCAGTGAGAAAATAAGCTCTTTGAACTGGGTCTTTCCAACTCCACGCTCCACACTCTTCATCTTCATGTGTCTGTGTTATGCTGAACGCATAACATTTGAGAGTTTGCTGTTATTTCTGTCCTATATTAATATGTCTATTTCTGGATTCCTCCAAAACATAAGCTCCACAAGGTGGAGATTTGGGTCTCTTTTGTTCAGGATGTATCCCCAGTGCCCAGAACAGTGCCCGGCACAGAGTGGGGGTATCAGTAAATGAACAAATACAGGGAAAGAAGCCAGGGGACGTGCTAAAGTGCTTGGTCAGGCACAGTGGGAGCGGCCCCGAGGAGGCTGGGCTGTGGAAGATGCGCCCACTCTTGCCACCTCTGCTGGATGCTCTGCACTGAGCACACCCTTTTGGTCTGAATTCATCGCCCACGAGGCAGGATTCAAGACAGGGCTCCAAGTGGTGAAATAACTTGCACGGGAAGTAGCTGTTAGAGCGGGATTCCGCCCGGGCCGCTAACGCCAGTGCCCGTGCTTTCTTCTGAGTGGCAGGTAGACTAGGCAAGGGGAGAAAAGCTGTAAGGAAGGGTGGGGAGAAGTTGAGTGAGAGCCGCAGGCAAAGAAGGTGCGTTGGGAAAGGAGAAGCACCTGGGGATGAGGGTCTGCAGCGCTGCTTGCCCGCAGGGGCTGGCGTGGGTAAGAGAGGCAGGCCCCACTGGGACTCCGAGACTGGCAAGGAGGAGACCGGGAGGAGAGGAGAAACATATTTCAGGTGCCGCGGTTGTCTGCGAGGCTGTGGATGGTAACTGTGAGGAGCTGAGGAGGACGACATATTTGGCATGGCCACCAAAATGTCACGGGTAGAGGTCAGCCATGTTGGAGACATCTAGTAGTACTGTAGGGCATGGTAGAGACGACTGACTTTCTGTGCTGAGAGCGGACCAGGAAGGCAGGAGGGTTGTCGTGCAAGAGGCAAAGAGGGGAGGAGATGCACAGAGATACATTTACACTCCACAAACACGTGCTCTGGTCACACACGCACACACACAACCCAACCAGGTCCCGGCGTTCATGTGGAATGTTCTTGGCTGAAGACATAACAGCTGCCACTTTGGCCTCTCTTCCCTTTGACCCTTCCTTCCCCGGAGCTTTTCCCTTGGCTTCTCCTCAGCTTCCCTGCATTCCTTGCAGCACACGGAGGGCGGCCCTGACCACGTGGGCCTTGCCCTGACTGTGGACTGCAGCCCTGGTCCTGCTTCAGGTCTGGGTGTGGGCTGCGTCTCACATGTGGATGGGCATGGCTTCCCTTGCCTGGTGCCTCCTGGTTTCGGGGGCTTCTGTCTGCACCTGTGTTCCCTGCCAGCCTCTCTCCTTTCTGCCCCTCCTGCTCTCAGTGTCTCCCCATCTGTCTTCCAGTGCACACACCAGCGTTTCTGTCTGTCCCTGAGAGACCTCATGAGAGCACCCAAGTTTCTGTTTCTGTGGCTTTAGGTGCCATCCCAAGGGAAAGAGTGTTAAGAGTCAGGGTGAGACATGGGTAGGGTTTTAAACAAATGTTTGACTCTTCGCATTGTACAGGTCCCAGGATGTGTTTTTGTAGTTGCACCATAGTGGGTATGTGGGTAGGGGTATAAGCCAAGGGTTTTTATGGATGGACCTTCTGATTGTCTGCCGTGGTCTGGGTATGAGATTTTACTGTAGAACAACATGGCGGTAACTGGTGTCACCAAGGCATTAGAGAACAGTAACTACCAACCAGAGAGACAGAAGGTTTCCTTCTTTGGGGTTGAAATCATGCTGACCTCACATAAACACAACTTGGTCAGCACCCTGTCAGGCAGACATAGTCTGCTCACTGCAAAAACCATAAGAACCAAATGGACACTTTCGAAGAATTCACGACCAAGCTGGGCTTCCTGATGACATTCACCCCTCCCTCAGCCCCCTCTCTGCCCTCCCCTGGATCTCTGTGTAGCTGCACCTGGGGAATGCTTCTGCTCCACTGGGGTGCCCTTCTGACTTTGCAGCCCCTCACTGCTCACCTGGAGTGCTGAGTACTTGTAACCAAGACTACATAGATGAAACTGACTAATAGATTACCTCAGAGCCCGAAATTCATCTCAGCCCCTCCAGAGCCTCATCTTATGCTCCTTTGTCCTTCAGAATTGCCTCTCCAGAACCTGCCACCCACGGTGTTGGGAGCTGTAAATCCAGTTTGCATGCTCTGAGAATGCTGGTGCATGTCTGGTAGACTGACAGCAGGGGCCCTGTGTGAATTCTCAGGCTTTTGAGGGTGCAGGCAGCGTTCGAGATTTCAGGGTGAGCGGGAATGATTTAGTATTCCCAAGCAGATATGCCTGCAGGCAGGAAATACTGCCTATATCAAAATTGAATTACTTCTCACCTTGGTCACTTTCAGAACCAAGGGATGAGCCTTGCCCCATGACGTAACTGCTCCCCAGATACGGCTTAATTTCCATGTTAGTACTATTATTCTCCATCTCCTAAGAGACGCCTGTCTCCAAGGCTGTTTTATGCTCGTGGCAGCTGCTGGTCGTAGGTGGCGTGACTCTCCCGGCCCTTTTCAGACCTGGTTGGGAAAAGTCAGCATACAGGGCAGAAACGGGAGAGGCGAGTGCAGAGCCCTGGGTCTGTGGGGCAGCTGGTGAGGGGACCCCGGCCGTGACCTTTGTGTGTTGTTTGTGTCCGTGTTGTACAGGTTAGCAGAGGAGCTGGGACAGAGAGAGTGCAGGTGAGTACAGTGTTCTCTGCCCTCCCCACGGCCCCTTTTCCTTTGTAGCCAAGGTCTTTGTCCCCCTCCCCCCTTGCCCTGGTCACACTTTCCAAGCCAGAGCTGCCCTAAAGGGTGGAGATTCAAGTTAAGGAGTTCCTTTACAGAGCCCGCCCGCACCTGTCCCCTTTGCCGCAGCCCCGCCATCGAACCCTCTTGGCCCCTTTCCCGGGCTCTGGCCCATCTTGCGCTACACTGGGCCTGGCCTGGGCCTCAGGCGTGGCTTGGTCGCCCCTGTGTCTGGATGTAGCTGGCAGACTGAGAGCTGCTGGCTGAACCAGGCTCTGGGAGCAGGCGGCAGAGGCCGTCTGGCCACCTCTGCCACCTTGCTCCTGATGGCCCACGGCCACTGTCATTTCTCTCCAGGGGTCCACACCACTGCCAGTGCCCCTGGGGTTCCAACACGCAGAGCTGGGACCTGCCGCCGTTCCTGCCCACAGAGTGAATGTCCATCATGCAGGATCACCCTCAGTGCATAACGCCGCCCGAGCCCCTTCCCGTGGTGCCTGTCAACCCGCACCCTCTCACGTCCTTTGGGGCCTGCTCACTAGAAAGAAGGGATGAAAATAACTGGACAACCACATCTGTTCGGGAGAAGAGTTCTTTCAAGGATAGATGTCTTCGGTTGGGCCATGAGATGTCTCTGTCGCTCTTGCCTGCCCTCCCCTCCCCCACACCTTGTGTGTGAGTCAGGCCGTGGTCCTCCGTTACAGATCTTCCGGGCAAAAGAGCCAGGGCTGCAGCCCCATAATCCCAAAAAAGGAACTTTTCCAGGCCTTCCGAGGAGTCCCATCCTGGAGCAGCCTCCCAGCCTTTTCCCGGTCGCCCGGCCCCCATCGGCACCAGGCCCGGAGGGGTTCTGTTCTGCTCCCGCTGCGGGGCCGGCTGTCTCTGAGCCCGCACTGACTCAGGGATGGTTCGAGCACATGAGCTGCAGAAATTCTCCCGCTGCCCTGGAAAGCTCAGGGCCTCCGGGGCTTGGGCTGGGCTCTACCTAATCTCGCTGCACATTCAGGCAAGGCCCTTCCCAACAGCAGGCCTAGGCTGCCCCAGCCAGGGAGGCTGTCAGGATCTGACTTGCCCCTCAGGAGCCTGCCAGAGCCCCTCTCCCCCGGGCACAGAGGAACTGGGGGATAAGGAAAAGGCATGCTGGAGCCATCCCTAACCCCCCCTTCATGCAGATGAGGAAACGAAAGCCCACGGCCTGGGAGCTTGGTGCCAGAAGTGGAATCAGAGTGGCGTCTCCTGATGCTGTCCTCTGGCCCTGTCGGGAGTTCCAAGAAACTCACTGGTAGTAGAGAGTCAGGTGAAAAGCATAAAAACTCAGGGGGCTCAGTTTCACAGACCCTTACGTTTCTGCCGTCCTCTGGCCTGAGGCTAAGGCCATCTTCCCTTCCACCCAGTATTTATAGGCACCTCTCCAAGCTCGGTGCCCTCCTCAGTCACAATCCTTTTTCCCAAAAAAAATACCACATCCCAAACCTTGCACTGTGAACCCAGTTCTTTCTTCCTGGAAACATTTCCTGACCCTGTGACCTCAGCAACAACTGGAAAAACTCCAGGTGCCCCAGAAAAGAGACTACCCCTTTCCCTAAAAGGGGGCATGAGTGTTCTCAGTTCTTTGCATCTCCCGAGTTGAAAGGTAGGCATCCCAACAGCCCCATCCCAGGACACTGTCTCGTCCCCAGCAGATGTTTAGCATTGGTTCGCAGGCCCTCGATAGTGCCCGTGAGTAACAGCGCGTCTGTCCTGCACAGGGGACATGCAGCAAGCTGGCGTTGACATGAGGAAGGCGAGGCCCTCCCCCAGAGGCGCATTCCTGTCCATCTTTCCGCTGCACACCTGGACCAGGCTTGCGGGCTGCCAGACGTCACTACCTGGCAGGGAGAGGGGAGCCAGAGCCGGTGGGAAGTGGGAGGGGCCGCCCGTTGCCGCCTCCGGTGGGCCTCCCCCTTGCACAGTCCTGCATGAACTAGCATCTTCATCACTCCCCTCGGGCCATGGTCTCATCTCTGCAACAGGAATTTACCGGGAGGTTGAAAAGAGAAAAGAAACAGCACAAATCTGTGTGTGTGACCTGATGGAGTTCTTGCCGGCACATGGGGTGCTCCCCAGGGTTGGGGCCCAAGTTTCCTTCCTACCTTTGACCTTTAAAAACCGACAAATTTTCTTCCCTGTATCTTGCAAAGACAGTTTCAGGCCTTGCTCAGTCTTACAGACATTCACACCCTGGCCACAGTGCTAAAAATAGCCTCCTTCCTTTCTCTCACACTGGTTAGGCTTCCGCCCACCCCGTTTGATGCCGCTGCTCTGCAGCCTAGGCGGGAAGGGGGAGCAGAGCGCTCTGCACTGCAGCCCCAGCTGGTTCCTCCCCCGGCAGCCAGAGGATTCTCGGCAGCCAAGCCCGCGGCCAGCCAGGCAGGGAGCGCTGACCTGGGACCGCCAGAGGGAGCGCTGACCCCCGCCGGGCTCTGTGCTTGCACCGCCTCTCCCCTGCTCAGGGTTCCATTCTGCTCTGGCACACATGATAATCAATCCCAATTCCCGGTGATTTTCATTTATTTTTTTCTGCTCCCTGGGCTCCAGGATGTTATTTTTAGTAGGAGAACTGCTATAAATATTTATAAAGGGCAGTGACTGGAATGAAGTGAGAGGCCCCACAGCTGGCTCTCTCGTCGCCCCCCCCCCCCACAACACACACGCCTCTGCAGACCCCTGCCCGCTGCCTGAGGAGGCCGGGGCAGGGCCAGTGGGCTCAGCCTGTAGCCACACATGGAGAGAGTCACATGGAAACCTCGTGAGGGGGCAGTCAGGGTGACACAGGGGTGGGGGTAGCTCTGCATCCTTCCCTCTCACAGTCCGCGCTCCCTCCATAACTCCCACCGCTGAAGGAGGTGAAGGCTTGTGTGAGGGCGTGCTGAGTCCCGCAAGGCCCAGTGCCTCGATGTCATGAATACTAGGTGAGAGGGGCAGGTGCAACTTGGATCGCTCCAGCTTGTGAGAGCAAAAAGGAAATGGGAGCCTGAGGAGAAGCCCCCATGCCGGTGGAGGGCTTGCCTCCCACAGCAGCTCCTGAGCGCTGCCTAAGGCCCCAACTGTGACCAGCAGGGAGCCAAGGCCCTCCACAGCCAGCAGGGGCCCTGGTAAAATAAAAGCACTGGTGAAGATGTTCTCCCACACACAGGAAACGGGGATCCAACCTTGCCTAGAGGGCCAGATGGGGCAAGAATGAAAGTGACCATATGGAAAGTTCTGGGGGACACTCCGTGCCCACCAATGGTGAGATTAGGTAGGCGGGGTTGCTGCAGCAAGGTCTTAGGGATGACCCTGTGGGGTGACTATATGCTTCCCCCACAATCTGGACTTCCCACACTTTGTACCCTGCCCCTGAGGACAGGGCAGAATCCCACCTCCCAATTGCTCACACGAACTGCTTGCTTCTTCTGGAGCAGAAAGAGCCAAAGAACAGTCAGATTAAAAGCACCAGTGGCTCCAAAACAGCCAAGTGCTCAGGCCAGCTAAGGTGCACGTGGTGCGTGGCAGTGTCCTCTGGGCCCTGGGCGTGACCCTCCACATCTGGGAGGCTGCCCGACTCCACCGCTCAGCAGGTCCTCACCCCAAGGAAGAGCTTCAGCGTCTTCAACCACCCGGAGAGGCTCTGGACTCTCAGCCTCTCACCTGCACCTGGGGGGTGGGAAGGGTGACCAGAGAGCCACGGGGATGAGCTCAGATGGCAGGAGGACGGTGCATGGGGTGTTGGGTTTTATACAAATTCTTGTTGACAGCTGCGTTCTTTTACAGCTAGAATATCCACCATTATCCAAGGCCCCGAGGTGCCTCCTGACTTCTTGGCATCTGCTGTAGAATGCAGATCTGTATCAGAAGTTTGAAGCGGGTCCCTTTGCTCAACTCTGACCTAGAACACAGGTGTCACCCTGTGGGGAGGGGCACTTCCTTCTTAATTGCTCTGTGACCATTTAGGAGTCTAATTTAACCTGAGTAGAGGATCTTTTAAGAGAAGTGTAGATACTGTCCGTATCATCAGCCCCCTGGGCTGGTGTTTCGTAGCTGTGAAGAGCCCCTTAGAGAGGTCCTGAATGTGTCCTGGGTCTCAAGGAAGTAGTGGCTCCACGCAGCTCAGCTCCAGAAATGCCAGCCATGCCCAGGTTCCATGTACTCTCACAGCCCCCTCATCTGCTGCTTGTGCTTTATCCCCTGGCAGACTCCCCCTCTTTTGCATTGCTTACTCCCTGCTCCCGTAGTCCGTGACAGCTTCAGAAAGGTACAGTTGCTATGGCAATGCCTGGAGCCATCTGAATTCCTGCTGCACCTTCTGGAAGAAAAGGGCTGATGAAGAAACCAGTGGATTCCAAATCTAAGCCTCCCCTGGCCTCTCCTAAGCCAGGGGCCAGATGACTGTTATGAACTGGAAATGTGGGAGGTAGAGGTAGCCCAACTTCCTTGGGAAGATACCCTCATAGCTGCAAGCCATGTGTACCGGACCAGGTTCTCCTTGTGTGGATCAGAGAACTAAGTCTTCCTACCTGCGGCTCTTAGCTAAGACACAATCCCAGTAGTTCCTCAAACTCAGAATCTGAATCCCCTGGAAGGCTCATTAATATATGGAGAGCCAGGTCCTACCCCCAGTTTCTGATTCAGTAGCAGTTCTCACAAGCTCCTGGGTGGTATTGGCACTGCTGGTCCAAAACCTACATTATGAGGACCACTGTGCACACTCACAAGTACAAGAGAAGGCTCAGGAGCCATGGCCAGTCAGGCACAGAGGCCAGAGTCAGTGGTCTGTTCTAAAGGAAGAAAAAGAGGGGAGCCTCAGCAATCATTTTTCTTGGTTAGGTGCCCTGGGGAGCACATGCCGAGACAGGGGGTCCTACACTTTTTTTTTTTTTTTTTGTCTCCAGCAATCCATAAACAGACCTTCCGCCTATCCCCCTAGACTTGTAAGAGGGGGCAGCATTACAAGACAGGCCATGAATGTACAGAAGACCAATATCCCAGATGCCCAGTGACTGAGCGGGTCTTGCACAGTCTAGAGTCAGTGATGGGGGAGGCTGAGGGCCTGCCTGGCTCCAGAGGGAGATGGGGACAAGTGGTGTAACAGTCACTGGACCCCCACAGTTGGAGCTTTTACACCAGAATGCAAGTACCATACTCCACTCCAAACCCTGTGTTTGGGCCCCAGCTGGGCTGCTGACTTTCAGCCTACCTGAAGCTCTGACCCGCATGAGTATAATTCTAAGAGGAAATGATGACTACAGGGCCCAAGATCAGGGCTGCAGACCTTCCCAGTTATGAAGAGCAGATCCCACGAGTTCTGACACCTCTGCACACTTAACCCTGCCTGGAAAACCAGGCCTGTGGGTGGTGGGCGTGCTTGTGAGCAGGGGGAGTGTGCTGGCACCATCAGCCCTCTGCCTCCTACTCCAAGGGGGCACAGCTAAGGTAGGGCCATGGTGTAAAAGAAGTGGGCATCAAATCAGTTTACAAATTCCCAGAAAACAATACTAGTTTCCCTGTTGTGTGAAAGTTTGGACGGGTGGTGAGTGCTTTCACTTGGGAATGTATAATTCCTAAGGGGCACCATGAGGTGAACTGGACTTGCTGGGGGTGGGAGGGTGCTCTGAAAGGCAGGCACCAGATGGCCATCTTGGTATTTCTGAAGTGAAGGGAGCCTGGCACTGCTAAAGGTAGACATTAAGAAGGGACAAGTAGGGGCACCTGGCTGGCTCAGTCAGTGGAGCATGTGACTCTTGATCTCGGGATCATGAGTTCAAGCCCCAGATTGGGCATAGAGTTTACAAAAAAAAAAAAAAAATGGGGGACAAGTAGTTTGGAGTGGGACCGTCATTCAATTGAGAAGATACTTAGGAGCTCTGTGTGCTGAGCACCAGGCCCCCTCTTCAGGGTTAAGGTTGGTCTGAGTTCATAACTAGGGGGTGGGGATGGGCTTGGTGGGCCTGCACTGCCCTCTGGAGCCTATCGGACTGGGGACAGTGGGCACAAATGGGACAGGCCACAGGGGAAGGGAAATGGTCACTGCTCAGAGTGGTTCTGGTCACGTGGAAGTGTTGGTCTTCAGGCCCGTGAACGGGAGAGGAGACTAGGAAGGGTGTGTCCTGTGAGTTTAAAGGTCTACAGCCCCTGGGGCCCAGGCACACTGCCAACTAGTAACAGTTCATTATAATTTATAGTTAGAGCCTGAATCCCCCTCAGCCCCTGCAGAGTCCTCAACCAGAGAAACCTGTTAGGGTGCCGGCCATTGCCACACCTCCCAGCCGGAGTCTGTAGGCCTGTGGCCTGCGGGGGGGGGGGGGGTTGGCTGGGCAGACACACAACACCCCCCGCCCCCCTGCTTTTGGCAGGGGGCACAGTGAGTCCTCAGCACACCAGCACACGCACAGGGGGGCCCTCTGGTCGCAGCTGTAGGCCACAGATGCTGTGGCTTTCCCCCCTCAGCAGAGTGAATCCTTAGACTCAGCACAGCACCTGGGGCGGGGCATGTCTACACCAGCAGGGCTCAAGATCACCTGTAGCCAGTGGGCTTTTCATTCAGGTCCCCACTCAGGGGACATGCCTGCTCCACCAGGGCCAGGTCCCAAGACCTCTGTCACTTAGTCTTTGTCTCCCTCCCCACCTACGGCGGGCATTCTTGCACACCAGGCATCCATCCCCTAATAGGGAGAACTCTGTCCGGGGTCCAGAGTTTCTGGGAATCCTCCCCACCCACGGCT